GCTTCTCATCCTCGTCTCGTCTCATCGAGCAAGAGAGAAAGACGCTGGAACGCGAACCGAAGAAAGAGAGAGAGAGAGACACGCGCGGCCAAATCTCCCCGATCAGTGTAAAAGGAAGCTGCGTTGTCCGTGGTCCGTGGTCCGACGCGCGAGTATTTCGCACAGGCAGTCGAATGATTTAATCCCCGAATGATGGACGGGCACGTCGCGACGATGATCTGCGTGCCGTGAAGTGACAAGTGGTTAGGATCACGGGGAAACCTCGGTGGCGGATGACGATGGGTGATGGCGCTTGATGGGCGATCCGCGCGCGGTGCTGATACGGAGAGAGAGAGAGAGAGAGAGAGAGAGAGGGGGGGGTGGTGGTGGCGGTGATGGTCGGTGGTCGACGTTGGTGGTGTCGTATCGGTGACGGCGGGACCCATACGGGCTGGTGGCGGCGGCGGATGGATTTGAGGACGGTGCGGAAGGAGGGTGCGCTCGCACACCGTACAAATCATGCGGGCATTACAGCGTCACGGCTGGACTCAACCTGTCGCGCGGCCGGAAACTCGATGCCAAAGGTAATGCTGATTTATCGGGCGCGAAACGGTCGCGCGTTGCACCGGCGTCCGCCTGCGTCTCGCGGCATCGTTTTTCTCGCCTCCCTCCCTCCCTCTCTCTCTCTCTCTCTCTTTCTATCGAGAACTAGAATCGTCTACGCGAAAAGTATCCCGCACGAGTTCAATTCTTCTTCTTCTTCTTTCTTTCTATTCGTCTATTTTCTTTCCTTCCTTTTCCTTTTTCTTTTCTATTCTTTTCCTTTCTTTCCCCTCTCCCCTCCCTTTTAATTCGTATTTACAAGTATTACGCATTCAATGCATTCCTCCTACCTTTCGAGATGTTTGACAATATCTTCGTAGGCAGCACGGCAGTTTTCCCAAACCGTCCCGGACCTGTGGATCATAAAAAAAAGCGACACTTGAGATACGACGGTGAAACGTGAATACAACCGAAGATGCACGATTGAGGAGAAAGAAGAGAGAGAGAGAGATAGAAAGAGAGAAAGAGAGAGAGAAAGAAAGAAACGTGTTTTTCTTTTCGGCCGAGATCCCGCGAAAGGTCGGAAGGGGGAGAAGAAAGGAGCGGGGGGGTTGATAAGCGAATCGGTTAATTATAAGCCTGC